GAATCACGGATTTTCTCTACACTGCCTTTAGAACTCACCCAGATTTCTCAACAGCCTTAAGGATGCTCATACAGTAAGTGTTCTTTTTTCTTCCCAAAAACTCCTGGCTGTCAGTCTCTCAATACTCTGTAAACTATTGCAAATTTTGCAAGAAACTTATTTCTTTTGAGCATTCTGAGTTCTCCTGGTGCTTCAAAACCAAACGGCCATTTGAGTCACCCACAATACACTAAGACACTGCAAGAATGCAAGAATCTGGGGAGTCAACAAAAGGAAAACTAAGGGGAGGCCAGGCTCACTTTGCAACTTGCACAATGGGAGAATAAGACACATCCTTGAAATAAAAGCGATAACCATCTTCAAAGTGCTTGGGAACTGAACAGCACAAATTGCAACATCTCCATCCATATAATGGTAATGGAAAATACTTCGCATGCAACCCCTGCACTCAACAGCACACTACCATGTAGGAGAAGGCTTGGATTATTTACAGCTAACACACAGTTGCATGCCAGACCTTTGGTGACCTAAATCCTTCAGGAGCACCGTTCCATACTCTGTGCCCAGCACCACAGATCTTACATAGTTTACGTTATTTAGCTAGAAATCCAGTTGAGTTTTTCACATGTGAACTGGATAATTCTTCTGTATCGAGTTGACAGCCCATAAAGGCTAGACAGAAGTTCTAGCAAAAAATGTTTTTTTGAAAGGTGCTTGTTCTAGTTTGAAGTAAAAATGGAATTAAAATGACATGCAAATGTCTTCGATGTCTTCATATTGCTCTACTTTAGTGTACACTTCTATTTTCAGGGGCTTTAAAAAAAGCACAAAAAGAATAAAAAGTTGGCAGAATGAGAGAGTCAGGGAGAAAGCATAGTAGGTTTCAAATGGTTTTTACTACTGTCAGCTGTGGCCACCCAAAATATTTGCAGATTCTAAGAAAAAACAAAACAAAACATCAAAACCCTCTTAAGATAGCTATTTAGTGATTTCCATTTTTCCAGACTCTCTTACCAGTTTAGTGAGCTAATGTTAAATTATCTGGTCTGTGCTTAAGAAAGAAGTAATACAGACATAATTAGTGGGCTGACAGGCAGCTCTAATCAAAGTCCCAGTGGTACCAAGCCCTAGAGCTACTGATCTTGAAAGACTCATGCAGACCATGTCCAAATCCTGTAATTGTCCAATGCACAACTCCATGGTCAGCATCTGTGGGATGCTGAAACTGAGTGGACTACTATTAACTATAGCTCCAATTAGAGACTATCAATGCTGCACAAACAAAAACTGGAGTTCAGCAAGCCCCACCCTCCTTCCCCTCGCATCCTCATGAATTGCATTACCATACCTGACATTCCACATTGCAGTAAAAGGCCTGTTTACATCTTCCACACTTGGACAATCCTTCTTTCCTTAAAAAGAAAACAGAAGTCATTCTACTATATAAATCTGAATGAAATACAAATGTATCCTGTATCACTTTTTGTACAATGTTTTGCATTTCACAATGAAAACTGTATTTTCTTCAGAACACTACAACTACAGCTTGAACCCCATCTTCCAATAGCAGACACTATTTTTATTTGTTTAGAGATTCAAAAGCAAGTTTTCCCTAACAACTGTTATTATGCAGAAGCACTCTCCTGTTCCGGTAGATTGCTGGGTTTGGAAACACGTTATTCTGTGCTGTTTGACAGACAGCACCATTATTTGCCGCTATATTATGCATACTTACAGCTAACTTTTAGCTTCCTTCTCAATTGTTCGGTATACTTGCTCACCAATATTAACCCTTTGCTATTGCTCTGCCAGTTCCATTGCTTCTGTCTGGTTACAGAAAGCATGACCATTGTTTCATGAGCAACTGCCTCCCAACAAAGAGAAAACATGCTGCATTACTGTTTGATCTCCTGTCACTACACAGCCTCTTACTGTCCTGCTAACATCTGCTCCAATATCTGTGTATTCTAAGGTGACCTAAGGCTCATGCTCTCCTTTTTTTATATCTGTATCCATCCCCACACAAGGAAATGCCAAAAGGAAGGTCCTTTTCTGCTTCAAGGTACATGTGTTGTAGCAGATCCCATCAAAAACAGAGCATTGTTACCCAACACATGGCATTTTGGTGTGACATCAATAGGGATCTCTCAGCAGTACTGAGTGCTTCAAAATATCTACACACCCTCCCCAGTACAAGTGGCAAAAAAACTGTATTAATCTGAGGTAAGTTCATTGGAGTAAAGTAAGAGTGAGTGTCCTTGGACAATAGGATAGGGTACAACGCTTCAGAGGTCACTGGCACTCAGAGTCCATAAAGCAGAGCAAGTCTTGACATCCTCTGGTTGCTCTTGCAAAGTAGAAGGAGCAACATGAGTCATGATAGTATCATAACTCTGCTTGCTAACGACATGTACCTCAAGCACAGCTGCGTCTTTAAAGTAAAAGATACTATCAGATGGAAATACAACTTTCGGGTCTCATTCTGCCCATTTTACTACAACAGTTTTATGACTACTTAGAACAGTTTCTCTTCCCAAGACTAGTGCTGAGCCCACAACGTTCCACCTAACACTCTGCAAGTCCAACAAGCACAGTTCAGAATCTAGTACGTGCTAGTTCAGAGATAACACAACAGGGCACAGACACAAACACATTTCTGAGCACTGGCAGATCAAGTTACATCACTGAGGTACCTTTCCTCTTAGTGGAACCCCATGGGCCTGGTGTGAAACAGGTTTCAGACTACCCCACTGTAACTGCTATGATACAGCATTCAGTATACTCCTTGATCACTGTGCTCTTCCAGAGCTCCATGGGAGAAGCTTGCATGGAGAACAAGCAGCATTTAAATCAGCTGCTCCTGGAGAAGATCTTTAAAAGTTATTCAATGAGATAATAGTTATCTCTACAATATTACTTCATATCAATGGAGCATGGAAAGTATTCCTTGGTCCTTTTACAGAGAGGAATATTCCTTGGTCCTTTTACATCCTTTACTGGATGTGATAAACAAAACCAACCAGTTTCTTTGTCACAGGGGGGGGAAAAAAACAAACACCTTTGGGGCTGGGAAAAGTGCCTGACATGAAGAGAGGAGAATCACCTCAGTTCAACAGTTCTTCTAATTAATGGGACTCACTTCACTGACTTCACTAGGAACAATATTAGGTGCTCATATGCAAAGAGAGGTGTGAATAAAGTGAGTAAGTCATATAAGTAGATAATGTAATGAGGAAAGAAAAAGGACAAGGTCAAGAGAAAATGAGAAGAAAATGAAAAGCACAAGTGAATTAAGATAACAGGACAAGACATGAAAAGACCTGCTAGAGTGTAATAATTATATTCTTCAGGCTGCCTCTCAGCCTTCAAACACAAGCAATACTTACGTATTGATAAAAACAAAAAAAGTACAACAGTTGTTTTCCTTTACCAAAGCAAACACTAACTTTAGCTCCGAGTTATAATCATTTGAGTTATAACTGCAATTCTTAAGTAAGCTGCCAAAGGTCAGGAAAGTACTACACTTTTTAAAAACTTGGTGTGATACAACGTGCCACAGTGTCACGTCCATGACTAATTTTCTAACGATAACCCTAAACTGCAATTTTTTTGTTGCTTTTCCTGCTGCAGCAGCTGACATTGAGAGGTTTACAGAAACCAGAAGAACACCTGCAGCAGGCCAAACTGTCCCCCCATACAGGCGAGGAGGGCAGCTGATGAGCCCCCCAGAAAACGAGCCCCCAGCAGCCTGCCAGAGCTGGGAGCCACGAAACGTGGGGCAGCAGGCGGCACTCAGGTTTAAACGCTCAGACACACGGTAACGAACCTCTCACACCGCCCGCGCTTTGCCTTAGTAAAAGTATTTGCTAGAAGACTAAGATTTCTGACAGAGAAGCAGAAATATGCAGATATTTCTGTGTATTTTGTTAGAGGGGCATATATATATATTCCATTCATATATATTCCATTCGCTCCACATGGAAGTGCAAAGCATGAAACAGGCAATTGCAGACCCTTTCTCCCTTGTCAAATCTTCATTAAAATCAGTGAATATTACGTTACTACAAAACTCGGTGGCTCGACGACACTTCCCGTGAGAGCAAGGTTACGCATGTGTCTACATAACCGCCAAAGCACGTGAAGGGCACAACCTTTTTTTTTTTTTTTTTTTCCTGAACTGTTACGCAAAGAAAACCAGTTTTGAGCTAAAAGTTTCATCGCGTCGCTGCCGCCAGAGCACCAGGAGCCGGGGCGGGCAGCTTTGCCCCGAGAGGCCGCGGAGCCGCACGGCAAAGGCGCCGCTGCGACGACCGGCACCCGTGGGGCCCGCGGAGAGGGCCCACTCGCGAGTCGAGAGGGCTGACACGGCCCGCGCCCTGGGGGACGCGGGTGGGCCGAGCCGCCGCTGGTTTTGGGGCGGGCCGCCGCCGCCCGAGCCCCGGGAAGCCGCCCCGGGGCCGGCCCCGCCGCTGCCCGCCGAGCCGCCGCCGCCGCCCCCCGGGCCCGCCCCAGGCCTCCCCCGGCCCTACCTTGCGAAGCAGCCGTCGCAGTGGCTGCCGCGCTCGCTGACGGTCAGCACGGCGGTGTAGGCCGGGCAACTGAAGAGCAGCTCCCCCAGGGCGTAGCGCCGCCGCGCCCGCAGCCCACGACCCTTGCCGGCGCTGGCGAACCTCTCCAGGCCGTCCGGCTGCGGCGGCGCCGCCGCCTCCGACCGCATCCCGCCACGGGCAAGCGAAGCGAAGGAAGGGGCGCCGAGGCAGGGCTCCCGGCCCGGCCCGCGTACGCCGGGTCCTAGGGCGCTGCGGGGCGCCGGAGGGCCGCTGCCGCCTGCCCCGGCCCCGGCCCGGCCCGCCGTGCGGCGCGGGGAGCGCCTCCTCCGGGCGGCGGGGGATCAGCCGGCGGCTGCGCACCCGGGCGCTCGGCTTCCCGCTGCCGGCGCGGCTTCGGCCCGCCGGGCCTCGAAAGCCTGCGCAGCAGGCGTGCTGGGAGAGCCGCCCGGCCCAAGGCCCCCTCTGCCTGCCCGCCGTGGGCTGGCGTCAGGGAGGAGGGGCTGCCCACGCGTGCCTCCGCTCACGGACGCGGCGGCAGCCGCTCTGAGGCCCGGCTTCCCCCTCAGATCTGGGGCAGCGAGTGCCTCAGGGACGGGGCTCGCCCCGGCAGCCGCACAGCCCCGGGCCGGAGCAAGGGCGAGGCCTCCTGAGGCGAAGCGCTTCAGTGGTGAGCAGTTGGGCTGTTCAGGCCCTGGCAGGCAGCGGGTGACATGTCCTGCGTGGTAACTAGGGCAGGACTCGGCTCACGCGAGTCCGGTGCCGTTCAGGCTTCCCCACCGCGTGTGCTGGTTTGCGCCACCCGCGCTGGGGCTGTGGTGGCAGAGGGACCCCGGCATGGCCCGTTCCTCTTGTGGTGCGAGGAAGCAAGGCCACTGAAGATGGTAGGGTGGGCAGGAGGTCACAAAACGTGCGGGGAGGGGGCCAGTGGAGGTGGCTGGCCTACCCCGGCGGCAGCTGGGCCAGTTGGAGAGTCAGGCTGGGGCCTAGGCCAGCATGGCGCTGTCCTGCGTGGCTTGTGGACGCCAGGTTGAGGTTATGGCCCAGAGGCTGCAAAGCTGACCACCCTTTCCTAGTATTTTAGGATAATATCCTGTGGTCTGAGCCAAAAAATCCCATGGAATTAATGTAAAAATGTCAATAAGGGGTGAGCTTCTCTTTATAATAAATCAGTCAATGAGCAAAGAAACAAGAATTCTAATGGCGACAGCCATGTTATAAGTACAAAATTATACAAAAAATACTGAATTTACGCAAAGTAAGAATTCCTATATTAAAATTACAATGGATAAATCTACTGAACTCCAAATGCAACCCAAGGGAAACCAGTAAAGCTGTCTGTACTAAGAAAAGTGCTGCAGCTTTGTGCACATGTATTTTGCATATAATTACAGGTTGTACGGCACTAAGAGAATACTCCTTTCAGAAATACAAGGAAAGTATTGAAGTGAATGAAAATATTTTTGGTGCCACTTGTAGTTCATGAGCAGTGTAGATTGATTGTAAGCATCCAAAGGTTGTAATCTCTGTTAGTCTGTGTGTATTTAGTTTTGTGTTAAATTATTTGTACAGTAAATCATTGGTAAGCTCCTTTTTGACTAAACACACCAGTTGACACTTGAGGCTCAAAATTTCTGTGAGGAAGTAAATTAGTAGAGGGGAAAGAAAAGAAGTGCATTGAAGAAGCAAACTTGAAATAAGAAATGAGCTTGCAAAAGTGCTTTGAGAATGTTACTAAATGAAAATAAAATAAAAATTGATCCAGGAGGATCAAGATGAAAGGACTAGTTTTAATCTTATTAACAGTGCAGTATTTGACAGCTATTTATTTTGCTAAAGCTACTCTTGTGTCACTGAGCGGAGAATCTAGTCCAAAATTAAAACAGCAGCAGTAGCTATTCAATATTAATATTCCCAGTCTCTTTCTCTGGATAATTTCAACTAAGTAAAAGTAGAAACAGTAAAGTAACAGTAGTGAAAATAAGCATGTAAAATTAAATGTGCAAAAAATGTAACACATCCCATACTGCCTCATTGCAGACACGAGGTGACAGCTACATTGAGGGTGAAAAGCAACGCTGAGGTGTGAGACACCTTCCGCAGCATCATGGATGTCTGTCAGACTGGGTGCTGCAGGTCCTCCTCTGCTCTCGGTACCCGAACGAGCCGAGTCAGCGCTAGCTCAGCACACCACCTGAGCTGCAGCACAGGTGGGTCTGCATCTGCCCTAACCCCGTCACACTTTCAGCTGTGAAACACCTCCCCGGCTGCGTAAGCTCAACTGTTTGTGTGGCCACCCATAAGATTCAGAACTTGGAAGTACTCCAGTGTAAGGGAAACGATGCGACCTCCCCAAACCCCAGCCTCCTCCTGTTTTGAAGCTGGATCCCTCACCCATTGAGGCACAGTCCTGCAGGGGCTGAGCTGGACAAACAATCCATGTGCTGGAATCAGGTCTATCGGCAGCCCCAGGCATGGCCAAGGGGTGAACCCGATGCAGAGGTTGTAGGTGGGGATGCCCAGGGAGGCTGGCCAGCGAAATTAAGGTCTATTCATGCCCTCAGAGCTCAAACAATTAACTATTCTGTATAACATATTTAATAGCCTGCTGCATACCTTTAACATCTTTGACATTCTCAGCCATCCTTAGGATGAAATTATTGGAGCCACTGCAAAAATAATGTAACTTTCTGGCCTGCCATTATTTGAACTGGTTAAAACTTGGCTTTTTTACAAGGAAAGAGTGAGCAATTAAAATAGGCTCAGTCACTGAATAATGTGCAATCGCTCTCTACTAGTGTGCTAAATGTTAATCATGACCCACTGTAGATCTGTGGACAGGATGGGATGGAATTAGTGTATCCAGTTAGAATAATAAAAGCAGTATCTAATTGACCAACCAAGTACTGCATCTTGCATGCGAGGACTGCCATTTACTCTATCCCAGTTCTGTGTAAATCATGGATGTCTAGCTCAAAGGTCTCTACATTTCTACAGCTAAGTATATATGAAAATAGTAATTGATAATGTATTCACTTTATGAATTAATTGGCATTAACTTGGAAACTGCCCTTATGTTGAATCCAGTTTGATTAATTGATGGGTCAATTATAGATAGACAAATAGAGTCAAAGCTCCTAAAATCATCTATTCTAACTTCTGCACAAGCTATTGAATTCCTTGAACTAATTCCTGCTCAAAGTAGAGCAGAACTTTTAGGAAACATCCAGTCTTGATTTTAAAATGTCCTTAGTAAGTGGTTTTACCAAAAAAAGTACTAAACACACACGCTTTATTTCTACCCTTAATATGCCAAATTGTCTTTTCAGCCAGTGGATCTTGTTAGAACATTATAAACTGCTTTGAAAAGTTCTCAGCTTTTTTCTCTCTATATTAGTACTTGTAGACATTGGTAAAATGAAGTGATTCAGCATTTGCTTCTGAAATCTGAAAACATAACATTGCATACTCTAGTAGTGAAATCCAGGTCACACTGAAATCAATGACAAATTCCTACATTCTTTAATGAAGTCAGGAATTAATTTGTTTCAAGTAACGTGTCCAAATAAAAGAGGTCTAACAACTCATATGCATTATCAGATCATTTCTAAACGATACCTTGTGCTGGGTCATAGACTTCTCTAAGATCGTTAAGATAGTGTAGGTTCACTGAGGAGAAGCTTGTGAGGTTTCTTTTTGGGGGAACCAGCTGGGATAATGGCAAACGTTATCACACTCCTGTTCCACATTATCACCCATGTTGAACAGCTGACAATTTGATTATGCCTCAGGTAATGAGGAAAAATTTGAATTTCAGTAGCTCTCTTTTTTAATAAACAGTCATTTAGTTTTAAAAACAAAAATAATAATTTACTAAATAGGCTTTATTCCACCCTGAAAAACATTGCTTTCCAAGAGATAATGCATGAATTTATTCACAAGAGTGAAATTCAGCACCGGCCTGCAGCTCCATTCAAACCCTCCAGGAGAAATTCAACCAGCTGCCTGCATAGCTTTTAGGTTACTTTGGATGTTTTCAAGAAATAAAACTGGTTTGATAAGTTATTAATGAAACCAGTTTTGTACCTACTTTGTTAGTATATTTATCCTGTCCCCATTTTTCTGTATTTATACAAAATCTTTAAATAAAACATACTCTTTTGAATCTCCCTATTTTATCTGCTTTCATACCATGTTCGTCAGATAATCTGAACGTGGGTTTTTATGAATCAGTTTGAATGCCTAAATAAATACCATTTATTGCAAAACAGACTTGTTAATCAATTTAGGAAGATTCTCAAGGCTTTAGCCAGATAAATATGCATGCAACTGCTGAATAAATAGCCAACACCAGGGAGTTTCAAGCAACCAGAAAAAGACTGGAGTGCTCTCACTCCCTGCTGCTCACAAGATGAGCGGAGTCAGTACCCCACAGGATGTGTTGAGGACCTGGCAGGATTGGGTGATAAAATGATATTTTGCTAAATTGTACCTCACATCTGCAGAGACTTCTACTTCTCATCTCCTCTGTCTTTTTTTAACTTCCGTTACGCCTGTTTTAAATATGAAAGATGATGGCTCATGAAAGGATGTGGAGTAGGGTATAGGTTTAAGAAAGTCACAGAACAAAGTGTCATGCCTGGTCTTTGAATTTCTTAAAATTAAGGAGCCTTTAGAAGCAGAGCTGTTCACCTTCACTCACAACCTTGGAGCCGCTCTACAGAAAACTCTGCATGTTTGACAAGAAAAAATCCATCCCTATTAGTCACTTTTAGTTAGGCTTAGTCACTTAATCTTCCAGAAATGGTACCACCGAACCACGGCCTGTGTTCTCCAGGAACGGCTGCACGCCCTGTGCCCAAAGCTGTCTTTTTGTGTTATGTGTCACTGTAGACTTTAGCCAGAAAGGTTCTGAACTTGGAAAGGGAGCGGGGAGTCACTCACTAAGACACAGGGCCCCGAGCAAACTAAAGAGTGAGCTAGGAATAAACAGTAAAATCAGCTACAGGGTAGGTACAAGAAACAATCATAGGCCAGGAGCCTATGGGAAGAGAAAGGACAAAGGAAACCATTTATAACCTTTTCTATATTTAATGCAATTATTTCCAGAGAGATCTTTTACTAACCTTGTCTTTTTTTTTTTTTTTTTTTTTTTTTTTTCCCAAAAAACTATTGATACCAGCAGCTGCTTTCAGCTGGCCAAGTGCAGGTACTGACAACAGGATAGCTGGGGCAGCTGGAAGCACATCCTGTGCTGTGGTCCGAGTAACAAAAAACTCAGCATAAACTGGTCTAATAGGCTTTGTAGGCAGATTTCACAGCTCACCCTAAACTCTGTTCTGCTGTAGCTAGGCAGCTGCTTCTGGTATCTTGGCAATTTATGGGTAGTTTAGGCTCAGAGATTTGCACCTTTTCAGCAGGTGAGTGCAAGTCTATTATTCTTTGCCAACCAGAGATTAAGTGTGAAGGTAAAAACTCAGCAGGAGCTGGGAAATGCTGCCTTTCAAAGCGGAAAAGTGCAGTTAATCACTTTTAGGAAATAACTTGCAAGGTGGGAGTTCAGGGATGACAGTGACTTCAGAATTCAGTAGAGGCTGCAAGGACTGCGCGTTACCCGTGTGTCTCTCAGGCTGGTGTGCTCCCAGCTCCCAGCCCTGGAGGGGCCTGGGCTTGACATTCAAAATCCGTCCTCATGTTATCTTCCACATCTATGCCACGGATTGTTGACATGTTGACAGTATTGACATTGCCCAGTACTGATACACAGACAAAAATGCTCTAGAGATGCCCTGTCTCTGTTGATAGTCAGGGTGTTCCCAACCAGAGGACTGTTGGAAACAGGAGCCGGGCAACCCCATGCAGATGTCTGTCTCTTCTCTTTAGAGACATTTGTGATAGTGAAAGACTCAGAGATCTAGAAAGAAGTTCCTCAGTCTTTTAACGAAAGTAACAAGCTCTTTGCTTTCACCCATCAGATACCTCCTACAATTTTATAAATACTATCATCCTTACTGCAAGTCTTTACAGGGCTGAGTGCAGACCTAGGAGTAAAGACTGAAGTTTCTGCCTAATATATGGAAGTGGTTTGCCTGGGTTAAATATATTTTAATCCACTCATTTGAAGTTTACAAGCATTTTTAGTATGTCATTACAGAAAGCCTGTACACAAATTTCCAAAGACAAAAAGTGACAGCAGCACAAATGTGGTTTCAGGAACATATCATGATGACAGAACTGGATGACTGTGGGGAACAGGCAAGGGCAGCTGTTAGGTGTGAATGTGACACTCAACACTCAGATGCTTGCAGTTCACAATTTGCTTTTATCAGAATCAGCAACCTCACAACTGCCATTCTGTGTTAACTCCAGCCTGCCCCTGGCAGACCTGCATTAACCTTTGCTTATGGAGCCACGGCAGGACTCAAGCAAATAAAAAAATATAATATGTCAGATTCTCCACCGGTGTAAATCAGCATCTCTCCACCGACTTTGAAGGAGCAGTACCTGCTTGCTCAAACTGAGGATCTTACCTGGTGCTACTGTAGCATCATTAAGTTGTCACATTCTTCCCCTGCCTCTCCTTTTGTCATCTAGCTGCAACTTTTCTGCGTTGAAGACTAGAGAAGGGTCTTTGATCCTCTGATAACTCCTTGAGGCTCCCTAAGATAATTGGCCAGGACATTTCCTGAGTTATCCAGGGTCATTTTATCTGCCCTTTTACTTGGAGAGGGATTACAGGCAAGAGAAAAGTCTTGGAGCCTTCACAGATGCAGACGACCTACAGGAGTGCAGTAGGTCAGGCACCCCCCCCCAACATGAGGGACACCCCATGGCCACTGGACTGTGCTTAACCTATCCTGCTACTGATGTGGAAACAGAAACCCTTCCAGGTGACATGGGCCATAAGACTGCATACCTCTTCTGCCCCAGCTCACCAGGGGGACTGGAAAAGGAAAGTGAGTGAGCTGCTTTTCTGCCGACGGAGTTATTTACACACTGTAATCAAGCAATCTCTCCATATTCTCTAAAGTTCTCATGGTACAGCACTTTCTTCAGTTCTAACAATGATTTTTGCAGGTATTTTCCAAACCTCTAGTTTTCTTCAGCTTCATTAAACCTGTGATCACCAAAACTGTGTGGCATTTCAGTAGCCACACCAATGCTGTATAAAGATGTAACATCACATCTATATACATATTGGTTGCTTTTCTATTTATATGTGCAAAGATTGCATTAACAGTACAATCAACAGTAATTTGTATTTAACTCAGCAACAGAAATGCTCAAGTGCCAAGCCTAAGACTGACCCCTTTCCAGCCTTGCTAAAAATATATTCAGTGATGACTTTCCAGTGATAACTCATTTTTGAGATTTGACACTTAATAAGACCACTGTTCTCCTAGTAGGTATTTCACTGAGACTGCACAATATTATTTTTAATCAGAATGTTTTGCAAAATTAAATCAAATGCCGTACAAATGTCTCAGTGTATCACACTGAAGCAGTTACCTTTTCAGCCAAATTTGTAATCTAATCAGGTTTGTCTGACAAGACCTATTTTCCATAAAACCATGCTGACTGGCATTAATTACTTCCTGTCCTTTCATTCTTTATCAGTTGAATCCTATATTCTATTATTTTGCTCCCCCCTCACCTCCTCTCCAGTTTGATGTTAGGTTAGCTGGCTTATATTTACCAAGGTCATCATGTTTGTCCTTGCTGAATACTGGCAAAACATCAGTCTTCTTCCAGTCTTCTGGAATTTCTGTATTATTTCAAGACCCATTAAAAATTAACGCGTGGAAGGAAGAATCTCCTCCACCAACTATTTGAGACTCCTCAGGTGCAAGTTATCTGGGCCTGATGAATTACAGGTTTTTATCACAAGTAGATATTTAACATCCTATTTGGTTACTAATGGACTGAAAAAGGCTTTGGCTGCCCGATATGATAGTGCTGTCATCCTACTTTTTCCAAATGAAGGAGAGACATGTTTATTGAACATGGCTTTCTTCATTATTAATGATTTTACTGCCTTCATCTGGTAACTGGCTAATTCCATTGCTGGGATTTCTTCTGTTTATAATGTACTTGAAATTTTTTTTTTTTTTTCTTTCCTTGCTGGATAAGGAGATATCTTAAGCTTCAATTTCCTGTGCATCTTTATTCTCTTTTTTCTTTCTTTTGCTGCAGGCCACTATTCCTTCTTCTAATCTTTGCCTCCTACAAACTGAAGTAATAACTCGAAGGAGAGAGAAGGGGAAGAAACGAGTTCATTCTTCTGCTATCTTCAGGGTCTCTTTAATTATAACTAATATTCTTCTTATACCTTACTGTCCCAGTTTAACTTCATGAACGATTTGGCTGCACCCAGTGCTCTAAAAAGCATTGAGTGGATGGATTCTGGAAACCAAAGAGCATTTTCTAAGTATGCTGCATGTAAAAGGAGTAGGAGTGATTCCTATCACTTCCTCTTACTGCCTTTTCCAGTTTTCCTTATCAACCAGGGGACCCATCTTTCAGCAGGCTAATTCACATCCACGTAGTTGGTGGTTTCTTTGTCAACCACCTCTTTTGCTTTTCCTTCTGTGACTGCTTTTCTACATGGACAGAAGCTGAGAATACACAGCCTTTTACTGAGAGAAGATCCACCATTCATCATCAGATGACAGGCACTTTTACTTCCTGAAAGATGAAATCTGGTCCAGCAGAGTACTAAATATTTGTAAGTGACCCTGTGCTGAGAGGCATCGCACCAGCAGCAGCTAGGAGCCCTCCAGATGTGTTTATATGGAAAAGCCATGCTCCCTCGGCTTTGCATGTGGTATCAGCAAGAGCTGCGTGTACAAGAGTGCATTTGAAAATGAAGACAAATGTAGAGTATTCTTACTACAATCGGTAACTTGGGTAATTCTCACTCCTTGCAAGATTTTTTTTGGTGGTGGTTTTGCTTGTTTGGTATCATTTTTGCTTAGTGAGAGAGAAAAAAAAAGCCTGGGAGTTTTGCTCTGAATGAAAGTAGGCTTGTGCCTCTTTTAGGTTAATAGGAAGATAGCTATCAGGCCATGTAGTACTGTTACATTTACACTTAGTGAAATAATTATTTAAAGAGAACTTGCACCTCACCCATGTGCTTGGGAGCTAAAATGTGTTTGGGAGCTATGCTGTTAGCTGCTGGCTGAGTCTGCACTGCTGCTAGGAGAAGACATGGGGCTAGGGGCCTCAGTCCCCTGGGCCTTCGCAGCAGGCTGGCTGTGTCTCCTGGGCCGTCACTTCATGTGGGCTCACCTTTGGGCCTGGGGTGGTGAGCCTTTGGCCCAAGGAGAGCACTCTTAATTTGTGGTGTTTGTTCAGTGTATATGAAATAATGTGGCCTCTAGGCTGCAGCCCCTCTGGTGCTAGTTCCACTGAACAGAATGCTGCGGGCCCAGGGATACGGCACAGGGGAATATTTGGAGGGCTTGAAATTCATGGGGAAGGGGAAGGGAGATAGATAATACAATGCAGGCTTCTCCGTACTGCCTTTGGCAGTGCTTTCTGGAGGAGACCTTTTTTGGGGATGTACTTGGAGTGGTCCAGAACAGAGCCAGAGAATAAGCTATCAGTGTGAACTGATCAGGGATTTCAGGTATTTAGTACTGTGGAGATTTACATTGTGAAAGCATTTTATATTCAGAACTGGTACATTTTGGATAAATACTTGCTTCTTCCTTGCCTGATATTAGTGCCTACTAGCTTTCAGAGTTAAAAGAATGGCAGTCACAATAATAATAATAGTGATACAACTAGTGGAACTTTTACCTTCAAGTGCAACTGTCTGCAGGTTCATGTCACTGAGAAGTCTGTGAATGTGATGAGAAGGGAAGGCTACATGAGACTGGGAGCTGTCAGACTCCATACGTATGGTTGGGGCACCTGGACTGCACAGGGTAAATGGACTGTAGGGCCCAGTCGTGTAAAGGGACCAAAATAGCAGATATGAGTGACCAAATGGTAAAGCAAATGTTCTTTAAGACAATATGGAAAATCCCAGTATATAAGAAAGAAAATGAGTCTGTTCAGCAACATATCTGGATAATATAGCAGGGTTTAGATCCACCCAACAATTTGGTGCAAATATGAAATGAAAGTAAAAATATATTGCTTTGATTTCTCTTAATCTTTTTCATGAAATTAATAAAATTACAAGCAAGAGTGCATGGACAAATATATTGACCATAAGCTCTGTGCCAGATGATGACTGTGTTAATGAAAGTTAGGATCTCTCCAAACACTATAAAACTAGAAACAGAAATCAGTATCCCCAAAGATTAATATGGTACTTTTCCTGCAGTGCTTGAAGAGGAGTAGGGCTTGTCTGTGCTTCAAGAAATGTTTTAAATGATCAACGGAAAGACAGCAGAAGATGCATTAGGATTACAGTATTAACAGTTGAAAACTGTGTTCAGCTGGACCCATAGTACCAACTTCAACAAACATACTTGTGACATGAATGAGACTCTGCTGCTCAAGTCAGCCTGGGAAACAGTGTTGAAATCACAGCTCATCAATTCCAAACATCTTCCGAGAAAATCCACAGAGACAAAACTTTCTAAAAGAAAGGAAAGAAAGAAAATGAGTCAATGCAAAGCTGCATCTCAAGTGAGTTACATAAAAAATGAAAAGTAAATACTCAGATATGCAGAAACGAGATGAATTGAAACAATCATGAAAGCATTAGGACAAGATATTGTAGTCTCAGGAATGAAATAAAAATTTGATAATAAAATTAAGTAGATACATTATCCACATAAACACTTTGGGAGTTTAAACTTATCCCTTTATATGACATCTGATGGTGCTTTGGATGGTATTGAATTGTGGTTCATGTATTCAGAGATCTTTTTACACCATCAAAGGCATCCTCATGAGCTAAATAAGCTCTTGATGAGTCAAAACTAACACAAAATAGTTGCTTAACAAATCAAGTTAGTCATCTCGAGGGTTGCTGTAACTTGTATTTTTTCTGTGAGTCATTTTAAAAGACACTTTGACTTCAACAAACCTTTCTGGGGCCCCTTCTCTTCAAGGCACAAAAGCTGGCATGGACAATCCTTCTGTCAAGAATCAGTGACTAAAAATATTTTTCTCAAATTGATAAGCTAAAGCCTGACACTTTGCTTTATGCTTTTATTTCCTGCCTCTTTAAAACTTGGTTACTCTATGAAATTCATAGAAGAGAAAAAAATAATAGACCACGGGACCTTCACTGGTCTTCTACACATTTCTTATTATACCCAGCATTTGCCTTCATAGATGTCAAATTACTTATTTTGATCACTACCTCTGTAAATGCAAAAAACTGAGTAACGAAAGCTATATCTTAGACAGCATCTCTTCAGTCACTGTAATTTGTATTGCTCATCATAACATCGTGGAATTTCTTGCAGCCTCCTTCCCACTGAGAGACATACATGAAGACGGTTTCACATTTGAAGCCAGGACCATGACAAACAGGGACTAGTGAATCCAATGTTGTTATAACATACCCAACTAGGTGAACTTTAAATGAAAAATTCTATTTAAATTACTGCCAATTCTCCAGTCCATTTTAAATTAATTTGACCTCTCTGATTACTAGCTCAAACAATAGTCTGAACTATATTTCCATGGTAGATTGCCACCTTCTGGTTATAAAGGTATCAGATCATATTAATCTTCTGTTTCAGCCCTCCCCATCAAGCCCTGGGATGAAGAAAGGCAGATGAGCATTTTGCAGAGTTCTGCTCTCAGCCTCTGTTGAGATAAATTAGATGTTCCTTTTTAACCGAACTTGCTCTGAGTTTGGGTCACTTGTGATCAGGCTGTCACAGCCACCTGCCTGACAGCATCACCATCCTGCTGGCACTGCCACTGGGTCTTGGCAGAGTGTGAGCAGCTTGTCCATGTCTCCAGGGTCCAAATTCCAGCCACAACCTGCCCCTTTCTAGGTGGATCCAGAGTCTGTTCAGGAGATAACGGGACGGGAAAACAGAAACAATGACTCTGCTGGAGCTCACTGGGAGCAGTCAGGAGAGAGTAAGAGGTGGGTAAGAGCAAATTGTGAAAATTTTGATTGATTAGAGGAAGAAAGAAAAGACAACAAAGTTACCTTAAAAGCGGGTTAGTCAGCCTTGAACTACCTGCTGTCTTTGTGTCCATTGACAAACAGTCCATTTTCATGGAACTGCTCGAATCAACACCTAAGACAACAGCCACTGTATTCCAGAAGGACCGGATATGTAAGAATTACATCAGAATTGTAGGACTATAATGTGCCAACACTACCTGAAGACTTTCTTTATTTAGCTGAGGAGCTAAATTAACTCTTACACAACTTATTTAATCTTGGAACATAATGTCCTGAGAGAACGTTCACAAATAAAGGTTTCTGTAAGTGTTTATAAGTTGGGCTTTGCTTCAAAATTATAATAAAAAAATATTGAAGGCTCATTTTTCCCCCTCTTTCACACTAGTGCTGTTTCATTGGACTAATCAAGATGAGAAGGCAGTTGCTATTTATATTTGTCTGGTTTGACAGTTTGCTTACTGGTTTACTTAGCTTACTAGTCAAAAGATAAATAATGCCTTTACCACATGTGGTAGTGCACCTAAAATCATGGAGTTGTACAAAGTACACGTTGTAATATATATCTCTATACACATTTTGTTATACTTGAAGGAAAGTGGAGAGAGGGAAAGGGCCTGTTATAAATTGGGTCTTTTATGAAAAGTTCTAGATAACATAATTGGAAAAGAAAGAAGGGGGTCCTATAGAAATGTAACAGAACACTGCAGAAATTACTCTAAAACCTATGGAGCATTACATCCTTTATATAAACTTTTTTGAGCCATTGTATAGGATTTAATAGCTGAGGTATCTGAGCTATAGGATGGTACAAAAAAAAAAAAAAAAGCTGCAGAAAGCTTATCATTTTGTGTTAAATTCCACAGGAGTTTTCCATAAGGGCTGGGCTGTTTCTGAGGTGTATCCTCTGTGTGTTTCTTCTCTACTCCTGTGGTGAGCTGAACTTTGGTTTCAGTCTGCAGCACATTCTGAATACGCGAGTAGCCTTTTGTAGGTGAAAAAGAAGATAGTTCTCTGTCTCATTAATCTGCAGATTCATGTGGAAGTCTATACTGTCTTAAACTTCATTGGCAGGTCACCATCCAGCTGCATGAGCCATTGTGTTTGAGTTTTAAATGGGGATGTACAATAGGCACTGTACCTTCTGGTGTAAAATGTACACAGAAAAATGACATACCACTTCCATCAGCAACTGAGGTTTTGTGTTATTTCAATGGACTGAGGGCCCTTTTTTAGTGCATTAGGGAGCTAAGAAAGTGTACATAAAGGACTGCATAACAGCATCCTTTCCTGACTTGGTAGAAATGAGAGAAACTACATTTTTTTGTCGGTGATATCTGAGGCAGGTAGATTATGTATGAAGCACAAACACACGATTAGCTGTACGTTAAAAATACTACTTTTAGAAAGCCAACCAATTCAGATATTGAAACTTCTCAATTATTCCTACCACAAAATTAAAAACAGAGTTTGGGAAGATTGCTGCTGAAGCCAATACGACAGAGATTAGAAATGTCAAAAGAGTCTAAGGTGCTCCAAATTTAGGAAGGAGAAAAAATGTAAAAACAGTAATAAACCACAACCAGGTCAACAGGTCCATCCACATGAGAAAACCAACATTTAACAGGAGGGCCTCTGAAACTTCTGAAGAACAGAAGACTGGTAGGAAAGCATTTTTATGAGAAATAAAATGTGCCTTCCTGTTAGGGAGGAAGGGAGTTGCAGGGTGCTTGAGAAATGGAAAAAAAAATTGCCATTAAACCCCGATATGAATAAAGATCAGGTGAGAGAGGATGTCACCCTCTGGCCTTTGGAACTGTATTTCTGCTGCCTCTTGAAATTATGTTTTCCTGAAACAAAGGAACAGTGTTATGGAAAAGTGGGTGCCAGGTACTTTAGGAAAATGAGACACAGCGAAGCGGATAAAAGAGACAAAGACAATAGCAATCATATGCAATAAAGTGAAGGCAGCTGAGGTCTGAGACAAAGGTGAATATTCTGAGCCAGCAAGATGACTGAAGCAGGGGAAGGAAGGAGGGAAAGGTGATTCACAATAACATTTGAAAGACATTGGCTTGAATATTTATCAATGTCACAGCAAACTTAGCTTGGCAGCCTTGGTGGCTGACTTTGTTCTTTTTCCCACCCTTAAGATGACAAACAGGAATGTGGTTGGAAGTACAGCTCTTAATGGGAGTCAAACACAACAGTGCTTAGGCTCGCATGCCAATTACGTAGGCATTGTCATGCAGTAGCTTTTCTATAGGCATAGCTGCGGTACTTACTTGTATCAATATCCAACAGAGTGGATTCAATCTAGGCAGAGTGGACTGTTGTACACTTACAGAATTGCAGGGGCAACATGCCCCCACCACCGGGACATGCAGAAAATTCTGTGCAGCTGCATCAAGTACCTCACTTGCTACGAGTCCATTCTAATTACAGGGTAGGTCGTATGCCCTGGTCAATGATTCTGCTACATCTTTAGTTTAGAAATAGCTAAAATAACTCTGAAGTGATTAATGCACCTGATTGATGATGAATACAGAAGTACTCAAATAATTTAGGGTTTTTTGGCTGATAACAAAGGTCTAATTCATACTGCTTTTCTAAGAGCTATTTCGCCACATACATAATGGTATTCTGAAGTGTCTGGTTCCCGAAGGTTAAGATGCAGGTACTGTTAAGTATTTTGGAGAAGTGCCCAATCAATAAATTTCAGAGCTATACTCAATGCTGTATCCCAGCTTTTCCAAAGTTAAAACTGCAGCCCAACTTTTATCTATAGATAAGGACAGAGCACATGTCACGGTATAAAGACAGAAAAAGGATCATGTCTGCTCGCGGTGGCATTGGTAAAAGTGGAGTTAACTCCAGATGTCATACTGCTGTAACCAAGAACTGAATTTGGCTATTCGTCTTGAATCAATGCTATCAATAAAAGTCTGCCAAAAATAACCAACTGGTAAATATTAATTTAAACATAAAAATTGGAAACCAGTTTCACACTGAGTTGCAACATGGGGCCACTGCATGCTGGCAGTGAGAGGATAATGACACAAAGTGCCAAAAAAATACCTGGAAAGCATTACTTCTATGTGACATCCAATAAAGATGCCGCACACACCCCTACATTTTTCAGCAATTAAATATCTGCAAATGAAAGTGCTCTCTCCCCAACTCCCTGTCTGCAATGGCCAAAATACAGCCCAGCAGTGCTGTAATAGAAGTTTTTCAGGGTGGCCCCTCTGCACAGCAGCTGTTTCGCAGTCTGATAGTAGCGTCTCCAACCAGCTGCTTCAGTTTGCTCCTGGCTGTCACTGCTATAGGTTAATAGGAACAGAGGCAAGAGAAGGGCCTAGGCCAGCATAAAGCAGAAATAACAAATTTTTCTGCCAAAAGGGAGTGTGGGATAAGAACTTTAATGGGCAAGCAAACAAAGAATCAGACTGAAGCCTGAGGCGCTTCAGTGTGTTGGCAACAGACAAGCAGTCCTGGAACAAGTGCAGCCCAGAGTCTCAATTTGAAATGACTGTGTGGCCCCCATGCCAAAAAAGTTTGGCTCTGTGTATACATGTGTGCATGTATATCTATATCCCCACACCAAATATGTAGTTGTGATAATCATGTAGTAAATTACAAAGCCATATGATAAACTGCATGTGCCTTTGACCACCTCACCTGCCCCCTGCCAGCTAATCCATCTCCATTTGGATTTACTCTGTCATTCTAAATGGAGGCTTTAATCCTGCAAACACTTATGTGTATGTTTAACTTTAAGCACTTGAACAGTCCAGTTGCAAACAAGTTTGGCTGCATGTAATTCCAGCATCGGCTCTAGGTGCACTCATAGTCCTGCCTTTTACATTCAATGGAAGCAGTTTGGGCTTGTGATTTCTTTTAGCTGATAAGACACCACCTCGAGCAATGGTGCTGACTGTTGATTTGGTGTATGCACTCGATAAATCCATATTATTCCATTGGCTTCAATAGCGTTACACCAATTTACACCAACTGAGAATCTGCCCTGTCAAGAAAGAAAAGTCATAAGGATTACTAGAGCTAATCTACAAACACAAGGTGCGTGTCAGTCCACGCATAAAATGAGGGCAGGGTGCAAGTACCAGATTTCTTATTCCCACAAGATGGGGGTGCAGGCTGATGGTGGTGTTCTACCATGAGATCTATGCAGCCACCCTCTTTCATGAACATAAGAAAGGTCTTGCAGAGCTTCCATCACCTGTTCTCTCATGGCTTCAGATCCAGATTTTCTCTCTGTCCTCTTCCATAAACTATGCAGAAAACAAAGAGAAAGGCAGCAGAAGAGAAGTGTAATTGTATACTGCAAAATAACATTCATAAGTCACACAAACACTAAACCCTACGTATAATGAATCTGTCCTTTAGGGACAGTCCTTTCCATGTCATTGTCTGGTACTTATGTTGTTGTTCATCTAGCTAATTACTGCTTTGAAAGGTATAGTCCTGCTGTCATGCCTAGATTAGCAGCAAGTGTTTGGCCAGCTACTTTCTTGTCACAGTTGATAATTATTTAATGAGTTCTGTTCTTCCCTAGGAAAGCAAGATTGGGATAGAATTGGACTTATTTTATCACAGTAGCATTGCTGCGCCTGTTGGCAGGTTTGACAGCAACAGTGCTGGATTTCAGTAAGACAGAAGAAGAAGAATTTCCATAAGTAGTTCCTGAATCAGTTGGAAGCGATGGGGAAATTAATAGTAATGAGTGAATCTCAATAGATTCTGACTCATTATTATGTTAGCTGCCAGTCTTTTCCTGCAGCTGTAACTATGCTGGAAACTGGGTGATGCTCTTAGCTAAAAGAAAAGCCATCATAAGTTAGTACAATATGTTGCTAAAATGGGAAACCTAACTTTAGATCTCCAGATTTCTCCATCTGCAGGGGGCCACTGAAGTCACATTATCCTTTTTTTTGCTGTAGAAATCTACTGATAAATAAAAGAGCATCGTCAGCAGGACCATATGGACCCTTCCTTCAGCTTACCTGTCTAGAACATTTGGAGCAATGAAGGCAGGTAAAGAAACTTTGTGCTGAGACCAGGTTAGAACGGCACTGGCAAAACCTTACAGTATGTGTAGCTACCTGCTGCAGTGGAGTGTATTTTAAAAGCTTTGTGATAGCTCTGGTAGCTCTTCCCAATTCTTTTCCCTGCCTGTCTGGAAATTTTCATAAATAAACAGAAAACTGTATATGGAAAATGTTAACTCCTTGAAAGCTGATTACAAAAAAAAAAAAAAAAAAGTAAAAAATAC